ATAGGTATGAGCCACTGCACTCAGCCTGCCATTTATATTTTTTACTTGTTTTATAATAGGTCATATATTCTTAGATTTAAAATTCAGAGGATGTTGAGGGGTAGACAGAGACCACTCTCTCACTCCTGAGTGACCAAGGGGGAGCTCTCTGGGAACCTGCACAGCCGAGCACATGTGTTCACACTCCTGCCTGTTTCTAAAGGTTTTATACCTAAGAGGTAATGAGCCACCACCAAGGAGCCCATGGGTGCAAAACTTTCCTCTGAACAGCCAGATTACAGAGTGCAGACCTGCCTCCACAACCACATGCTTCTACCTCCACCTCCAAAGCCGAGGAGCCCCCTCTGCCCATCCCAGAGCTGTCCCCACAGCCCACCAAAGCCTTGGTGGGCCTTAGTTGCCTTGGTGGTCTGGAGTCCCCAGTCTCCTCAAGCACAGGGTCCAGCAAAGTAGAGTGCTGAAGTTGGTTGTACTGTCCTCTAAGTCTCTTCTCGCCTTTTTAAACTCACAACATTGACTTTCTGAACTGACCTTGCCACACATCCTGGATTTGCTTGATGGGGGCTTCCTGGAGCTGCTCACCTTCTAGAGCCTGAACTCCCTGTGCCCAGAGATGTGGTTTGACTCTGGCCCCAGAAGTTCACGGTTGGAAATGTGACCCTAATAAGGGTGTCTCGGCACAGACTCTTAGCAGGCAACTGAGGCTAAGCCAGGTTGTAAGGGTGGAGCCCCGTCCGATAGGACCATGGCCTTACAAGAAGAGAAGAAAGGGCTGGGTATGGTGGCTCACTCCTGTAATCCCAGCACTCCGGGAGGCCGAGGCAGGTGTATTACCTGAGCTCACAGGTTTGAGACCAGCCTGAGCCAGAGTGAGACTCTGTCTCTAAAAATAGCTGGGTGTTGTAGCAGCGAGCACCTATAGTCCCAGCTATTCAGGAGGCTGAGACAAGAGAATTGCTTGAGCCCAGGAGTTTGAGGTTGCTGTGACCTATGACCAGGGCACTCTACTGAGAGTCAAAATAAATAAAAAAAATTACCCAGTGTGTATTTTTTTTTCTTTTTGAGACAAAGTCTCTCTGTTATTCTGGGAACAGTGCCATGGCATCATAGCTCACAGCAATCTCAAACTCTTGGGCTAGAGCAATGCTCTTGCCTCAGCCTCCTTAGTAGCCGGGATTACAGGTGTACACTACCATGCCTGGGTAGTTTTTCTGTTTTTAATAGAGATGGGGGTCTCACTCTTACTCAGGCTGGTCTCAAACTCCTGAAGTCAAGCAATCTGCCCTCCTCGGCCTCCCAGAGTGCTGGGATTACAGGCATGAGCCCCGTGCCTGGCCCAATCTGTGGTATTGTTACAACTGAAAATGGACTATGAACTCCAGGAAGTTGGTGGAATCTCTGATGAGGTTCACCTTAGCATTTTGGGCCAGGGTCCCTCCATGGGTCATGTCACAACACCCCAGGAGGGCCATGGTGATGTCAACTCGGCTTCTTCTTGGAGAGTATAAATGTTCAGTCACAGAGGCACGAATGGGCATTGCTCCTGTGGCTGGGTGGACCTGCCCCAGGAGCCTGACTGTCCACTCACCATCCTGCCAAGTCAGCTGTGCAGCCTCCCAATTATCAGCCTTCTCCCTGGAGTACCAGCAGCATGTCTCGTGAGGAAGGGCCTCCTGCCCTTCCTCCAGATTCTCTACCACCAAGGCTAAAGATTTGGGTCTATTTCTTTTCTCTGTATGTATCATAAGGGACACTTGGATTTTTATTTCACTGTGGTAAAACATGCACAGCGTGAAAGTTACCATCTTCGCCATGGCCCAGTCTGGGCTATTGTGCACAGCTCAGGGGCATTAAGCACAATCACATTGTGCAATGGTCACCACCATCAGCCCACAGGACTTTTTCATCTTGTAACACTGAAACTCTGTCCCCAGGAGTCAATAACGTCCCAGCCCCTCCCCCAGCCCCCGGCTCCACACTCTCCCTTATGCCTCAACTGCTCAGGGCCCTCACCAGCAGGATCGCACAGCCTTTCTGTGTCTGGCCCAGTGTCTTCCTGGTCGCTTGCACGGCAGCTGTGTCAGAACTTCCTCCTTTTGTAGCGTGTGTATACAGAGAGTGCCCGAAGAGTGGACACACATTCTGAGAAAGGAAAAACAATTAAGACTGCACACTGAAGTCACGTTTGACTTCTGCAGTTACAAGAGGTGCTCAACACGACTTATACTTGTCTTTTATTATTGGTGGATGCCGATGTTACAATTTTAATACAGTTTTTTCCTTTCTTAAAATGTGCACGTTTCTCGGCACCCTCTGTATAAAGCACCATGCTCTGTTCATCCATTTTGTTCAGAGGGACACCTGGGCTGCTCCCACCCGGTGGACACTGCTGCTATGGGTGTGTGGGCTGCGCTCCTGGACTTTTACATCTTGAATGTGTTTCGTCAGTCACTATTCTCCATGACACTCAAACGTTCCTGAATTTGACAAGTCATCTACTCTGCCACGGTGCGGTCGATTACACGAGGTGTCTCCTTCCATTTGTCCACTGATTTCTCAACTAGAGACACACCTCGTCAGGTGTGTCTATCTGTTGATGGGACCCTGATCCCATTTGCTGAGATGGTCATCTCCCCTCAAAACAAATCCTCCCTGCTCTGTCCCTTGACTTCCCCCTGCTCCCTTGCAGAGGGCTTTCCTGCCCCTGGGCTCTAGTGATGCTGTGTCTGGGTGGGGAGAGGGAAAGCACAGGGTGCCCTGGGGTTCCCGTTGGGGGTTAGGTACTCCTGTAAAAGGGCACAAGGTCCCTAGTTCCAGTCAGGGAAGGAGTTTTCGGGGATGTTTTGAAGAGAGCCACCCTGAGGGAAGAGGAAGAAGAAGGGGGATTTGAGAAGGGTCAACTCAGGGACTTGATAATTCTGAAACTCCTTGCTGCCGGCTCACTTTGACTGGGGCTTACCCTGACTGTGAGTCATGAGTCATGAATCATGGTTTCAGCAAAGTTATCGTGTGACCTAGTGAGGCCCAGGAGAGGCTGCCTGAGGCCCTAGAAACCCTAGGTAACTGTGCCTGACCCAGAGGGCTGACAAGGCAGTGTCCATGGCCAGGGAATCTATCACCCTCTCATACATCAAAGAGGGCTGCTTGCGCTTTGGCCTTTGCATCCGTGTTCCAGGTATGAAGAAGGAGCAAACGAGAGGATAGCACAGCCCCTCCCTTGGGGGGACTCCCAGAACTTCTTTCTGTCCCCACTGCACAACTGTGGCCCTATGACCCGCCTGGCAGGAAGTGGGGCTGGGAAGTACAGGCATCAGTGCAGGCCACCGGCACTGGCCGCTCCTAACCAGGAAGGGGCATGCGGGTGTCAGAGTCATGTGCTGCTCTGGCACAACTGCTACCAGCTTCCCTTCAACCCAGCAAGGGCAGGTCCTAGACCTGGGAGAGAGGACGAACTCCACCAACTCAGGGACTGAGCTGCCCGGGAGGGGAGGGTCAGGGAAGAAAGAGGCAGGTGGAGGAGGATGGGGACCCGGTGCACAGGGAACACTCGCGTGGCTGTCCCCACACTTACACTCACTCTGAGCCTTCGCTTGAGAGCTCAGCATAGGCCCCAGAGGGTAAAGTCCCACAGGATCCCAACATCAGTCACAGGGCTGGGCCCCGGTTGCCCACAACTCCTAGCCGACTCTTAGCTTCTATAATTTGCTGAATTTCTCCCAGAACTCAGGAAAGCTGTCCTCACATGTTTATCACATAAAACACGACTCAGGAAGGAAAAGTGCATAGGGCTGGGCAGGGACATTCATGCAGGCAGGGTCTCCAGCATCCTCGCAGCCCGAGAGTGGGGTACAGTCCCAGCTCTGGTCAACTCTAGGTCTTGCTAGGAACCAGAGCCCCAGAACCCACCAAATACTGCCCCATTGGAAGGAAAGGGGCTCCTGTCACAGGAGACCCTGAGCCAGGGGGATAGCATCAGGGACCAGCCCTCATCCCCATCCATCCCATCTGTCTGTCCTGTTTGGTGAGAGAGCCAAGTGTAGGAGGATGAGGATGGGGGTGGGGGACATGGGGCACCGAGCGAGGCCAGGTCCATGCTGTGGGCAGCTTTGTCCCAGGAGCCCCAGGAGCACAGCTGCCATCGGCCTCAGGGTGTCAGCTGGTGTGGCACAGACTCAGGAGGCTCACCAGATGCCAGCATCCTAGGACCCACCCTTATCTGCCAGCACCTCCTGCCTCCGGAGGGACAAATAACATTTTGTCCACTTCAGGAACTTCAAAAATGCTCCTGGATCTTCAGCAGAAATCTCAGAGCAGTGCCTAGCTCACTCGGCTGTGACCCACCCCTCAAACCCCCCTAAACTGCCTCACCAGCTCCCAGTCCACCCTATTGCAGGGAGGCTCCTCCCTCTGCCACCAGGCCTTGTCAGCAGCTTGCCAGGGTGGTATTGGGGGACTTATGTTGACCAATGTCTTTTGGAGGCAGAATTGACCTTCATGGCCAGGGGTGAGAGCTGAGGCAGTGGAAGGTTCTAGAAATCTGTGGCTGCTGCTTGTGAGCAGTCCCTGGCCTCTGTCTGCTGTCTTTGAGCTCTGGGGTCAATGGTTCCCACCTTAGGGCTTGTCCTGTGGCTGCTGGGACAAAGGACCACAGGCCAGGTGTCTCCACGCAACAGAACTCTGCAGGTCAACAGGGCTGTGCCCCTCTGAAGGCCCTGGATCTGTCCCTGCCCTCCCAGCTGCTGATGGGGGCCATCATCCTTGGTGCTCCTGGGCTTGTCCACTACTCTTGGGCTTCTGTCCCTGTCCTCACGCAGCTTCCTCCCACATGTCTCTTCCCTCTTCTGAGGACCCAGCCACATGGAGCACGGCCCTCTCCAGCAGCATGACCTCCCCTCCTTACCCAGTTCATCGGCAATGATCTAGTTATGAATTCAGATCACAAGAGGTTAGGACGTCCACATGCCAGCCTGTGACAGAGGCCCCCCTACAAAGCAGCTTACCCACCTCAGCCATCCAGTAAAGTGTGGATACAAACCACAGCAGGATGCCCGAGTCAGCCACCTGGGGTACTCCCAGGGAGAGGCAGGAATTCCAGCTGCCATTGAGGACCATGGCCTCTGATGAGGGTCACACTGCCTGCTGTGCATGTGTGAGCATGCCCGTGTGTGTGCAGTCAGTCACGGCCACTTTGGAAAACTGTTTGGCAGGCTCTAGGGGCTGGACACACCTGGCCCCGGCAACTCCTCTCTTGGGCAGTGAAAACAGCCCATGTGCCCCTGGCAGGAGAATAAGCACCTGTGATAAAGTGCAATGTGGTCACACACCGCATGGCCTACAACCACATCCAGAGCGGGGAGGCTCCAGACCTGGCTGAGGGACACAGCTAGCACTTGTCACCAAGGTGGACATAGTAGGCCAGGGCTGGTGCAGAGGGACCTTGGGGACCTGGCACTGCCTGTGTCTTCATCACATGCTGGATCAAGCTGGAACAACCTCTCAGCTGCATGCTGACCATTGGTGGACATTTCTGCGTTTGTTGCACGTAGTAAAGTCTGACAGGAGAAAGAGGGCTGACAGCAGGTATGAAGAGCATGTTTCTGGGTCCTGCCAACACAGCACCACAGCTGGGATGCTGGCCCCCTCCCAGTCACTTCTGGGCTGCTGTGCCAGAGCTGACCTCAGGACACATCCCCAGGTTTTGAAGACCCCTGAGGTGTGTAGAGCCCTGTTGAGTGGCTGCTACTGGGCAGGCAGGGGGCTGGGGAGGGGCAGAGGCCCTCTGAGGCCGGTGGGCACTGCACAGAGGAGGGCTAGATGTGCAGGTGGGTATGGCATTGGGGGGCAGACTTTCCAAAAGGAAAGATGTGAAACAGCACAAAGATGCATGTGGCAGAGTCCAGGTGATGGGGCAGGACGGGCAGCCCAGCTCTGACACCTGCACCGCACCCTTCTTCCTGTGGTCAGGGCTTAGCCCTGTACCCCCATGGCCATCCCTTCCAACCCTGGCTCTGTTTGGGTGTCTTGTTAATCCTGGAGTTTCAGGGCAGTGTGGCCTGCATCTTGCTGGAGGCTCTCTGCCTGTGTGTGGGCACCTCCCACTCCACCCCAGCAGACCAATAGCTGCCCATAGGAGCATGCTAGCTTCCCGGCTATGGGACCTGGGCAGGGCGCCAGGTACTGTTGGCCTTAATTTCCCCTTTACAGTGCCTCCTCCTCCCACCTGCCTCTGGTTTTCACCCACCACTGGGGCCCTCTCACCTGGCCATGTTCTGGAAGGGCCAGTTGTCAGCACGTCCCCCAGCCCCACCACTCTGCCTGGGTCAGGTGCTATCTGGGCAGCTTTGGTGCCCCAAGAGCTGCCGGGACAGGAGCTTAGGCCCCAAGGCCTAGGGCTCAGGGCCAGTGGGGTCAGCTGGATTATCTGTTAACTGAGGGGTCCTAGGGAGGACTGGAGGCTTGGGAAGGGTCCAGCAAGCCTCAGTCTCCAGGTGGCCCCAGTAGGGTTCCTGCCCAAGCCACCCTGCCTGGGGTCCAGGCATGTTCTGGGGGTCTTGCTCCTCATCCACATACCACCCACATCCAGGGGCTCAGGGGCAGCCTGCCTGGTTCCCAGGGCCTTCCCCATGCTATGCTTCCGGCCGCTGCTACTCTGAGGATTGTTACTCCCACTTCTCCTTTCTAGGAATCAGGAGGCAGGAGGCCCTGAAAGCTGTGGGAGGCCGAGGTGGGGTGTGTGCCTAAAGCTCTGGTGTGGGTAGTTGTCTGGGGTGAGGCCTGAGGCTCATGCAGCCCTGTGAGCCCAAGCTGACCAGGCTCCTGAAAATTGCAGGGTGGGGGGGGCAGCAAGACTGGGTGCATCCCTAGCCCTGCAGCTCAGGGCCTCAGCCCTTGGCAGCCCACACTCCTCAGAGGACAGGGTTAGAAGGAGAGGCTGGGCTGCTGGGGACTGTGTCCTCCTCATGTCTTCACAGGGTGGGGGGCTGGTCCTCTTCAGAATGGACTTCCCTGGGCGGTCCAAGCCCTGCTGAGCTGGAGGCCTGGCCAGGCCCTCTACCCGGGGAACACATGCTGGCCCCTGCATCTATCCGCAGCCTCCTCTGGCCGTCCTTCCTACACCTGGAGCAGGCAGCCACAGCGGGTAGATCCCTGCCACACAGCCCCTGTGGCAGTTGGCACACAGACCTAGAACCCAGAGCTGGAAGGGGCCAACCAGGTGCCATTTCCAGGGCCAGCACCCACGAGTTAGGAAGGACCTGGCCTTCATAACAGCAGGGGCCATTTGCTCAGCACCAGCTATTGAAAAGAGCATCTGCAGGGTGCCAGGCCCAAGCAGCGCTCCATAGTGTCCCTCCAACCCCAGGTAGGGACCCTGCCTACTCCCTGCTATGGTCCTACAGACCACCTCCTCTACCTCCCTGTTATGGTCCTACAGACCTCAGCTCCTCCTGAGGTGGCCAATGGCCCTAGTGGTCCCCTCTCAGTTGTGCTTAGGAACAGTTTTTGCCTTAGTGGTCCCTTGAGACACGGACAAAGGCCACCCCAAGACCTCAGGGTGCAGGGTGGGCACAGGGCCTGGGACAGCACAGCAGTCTGCCCCAGCACTTGGTGAGCACTGGAGCATTCCCCTGCTGCTGGGGAATTTAGACATGAGCCTGTGTCCCCTAGCCTCCTCTGTCCGTGTCCACGCCAGCACAGGCAGGTTCCCCTCTACCCCCACAAAGGGGCCATCAAGAATCTGGAGACATGGCTGGGCTCGGTGACTCACTCCTGTGATCCCAGCACTTGGGAGGCCAAGGCAGGTGCACTGCCTGAGCTCACAGGTTTGAGATGAGTGTGAGCAAGAGCAAGACCCTGTCTCCAAAAATAGCTGGGCGCTGTGATGGGTGCCTGTCGTCCCAGCTACTCCAGATGCTGAGGTCAGAGAATCACTTGAGCCCAAGAGTTTGAGGTTGCTGTGAGCTGTGACATCACAGCACCCCACCCAGGGTGACATAGTGAGACTCTGTCTCAAAAAAAAAGAGAGAATCTGGAGACATGGTTGGGTTTCTTACAGCAGGTGGGTGGGGGTGGGGCGGCATCTAGTGGGCAGAGGCCAGAGATGTTCTCTGGGACACACCATGTGGGACGCTTCCTCACACCACACAAAAGTGGGCAGCGCTGGGTAAGAAGCCCTGCTGGCTGTAGGCAGCCAATGGAGGGTGGGAAAAGACCAACATGGTGCCCCCAAGAGGGCAGCTCCGAGAGGGGCTGGTGCTGGGGGGCACAGTGGAAGGGCATGACCAGCTGAGACAGTCCATAGAGGTCCCTACACACCATCCCCCAGTGCTGGAGAAGCCCCAAAGGTGCAGACTGAAAGCTGGCAGCTAAGGCGAGACAGTTGCTGCCCACAGGGCCCAGGACAGCACAGCACATGCAGGGTGTGCAGGACTCAAGCCACAGTGTCTGGCATGGGCCTAGGACCATGTGCCCTCCCCCACCTGTTAGCCTTTGCCACTGCATACAAAAGCACCAGTAACCTGGTGGGGGACCACAAGGGGAGGGGCGGAGCTGCATGGGTGCTGTGGCTACTCCCTCTCCCACCACCGCCCC